ATTTATGTCAGCCACATGATATAAATTATTTTTATAAGAAAATTGTTTTTGAGTCAAAAATTTAAAAATAAATGAACCAAATTTTTTATAATTTATTGCCAAAATTCAAATTAACTCATAAACTTTATCAGTAATACACTTTAGTAAACCTGATAATTAAGGTGACATAAAAAATGAAACTCTAAAATCTTCTATTTGATATTCATAAATTTATTCCATCACTATGAAAGGAAACCAAGCACACTGTGTGCATTTTGTTTTCACAGTTGGAAAGAAACTCCAACAAAAGACATCCTAATTGAATGCACCTATTCCATTGTACATGATACTGCCGGAGTATCAAAAGGGGCTTAAATAACATTGAACATGACAGACAATCAAGAAAGAGAAAATTTTTACCATAGATCTTATGTTCGCAAAGGTTTTATTTCTGCTGTTAGTTTATTAAACGCTTTGATGGAAATAATTGGTGGCCTTGGTATATTCAATTGTGTTATTTTTAAAGACTTAGGGTCTGATTTTTATTGAAAAAATAGTATTTTTCAATAAGCAGGTCAATATTTTCCAGTTTAAATATGAATTGCGAGGTTTCTACGATTTTGAGAAATATTGCCATCAGTCAATATCATATATACATAAAACAAATTGCTACAGATTATGGGCCCAGAAATAGACTGTTCCAATGGTGGTGAATTCATATATGAACTATGGAAATTAAAATCTTTAGGATTCATTAAAGTCCAAAACTTGCACAAAAAGATCTTGGCACCATATGGTTGTCCCGATGATGAAGAGTACTGTGACAAGAAATTCTTACATAATATTATTAAAACATTTATCATTAATTACATGCATTAGTTTAGTATGTTGGCTACTTCAAAACTAAATATGTATGGTTTATTATGAGATTATTTTATAAAACATGAAGTAATGGTGGTGCTCAAAATAAAAGTCCAATTGATTTGCAATGCAAGATAACATTTTTTAAACAAAAACAGTTTTTTTTTCATAGAAGTAAATTGCACATACAGTATATTTGAGTAGGACTTACTGTGTTGGTGTGTTTGTGAGTGCAACATTCAGAGCCCTTTTAGCTTCAGCAAGAAAAGTTCATGTCACATCGTTTGAAAAAGGAAAACTCAGAAGAGAGAGCCAAAGTAACACTCTCTTCTGTTTTTTTTTTACTTTCATGTTTTTTTATACACCACAGCTGCTGCTGCTACTACAAGGTCTATTAAGGGCTGCTACTGATATTAGGTTTATTTAGTCACTACATTAGTTTCTCCATTTCTTCTCTTTTCCTACTTGTCTAGTTTTTGCTTGTTTCTCAGTTATTCTTTTTCTTTTTATGAGCTGTGTCCCTTCAGGGCATAGGCGGTTATGGCTCTCCACTTCACCCTATCCCTTGTAGCTCTCAATAAGTTTTGTTCCTTTGCTAATTCCCCTAGGCCAGGTTCTGTCATTCATTTGCTTAAGCCCGCTAGGTATGTCATGCATTGCTTTCCCTTGTCTCTCCTTCTCTCTATTTGACCTGTGAGTATTACATTCTCCAAACCCTGCTTTCTCATTACATATCCCAGAAATTTCAGCCACCTCTTCCTGATGTTAAGAATAAGCTTCTTACTTGTTTGCATCCTCTCCAAGACTTCATCGTTGCTCACACACCCAGTCCATGATATTCTCAGCATCCCTCTGTAGAACCACATCTTTGTCACCGCGAGTCTCTTCTTCATTTTTGAGAAGACCATCCAACATTCGCTGCCATAAAGAAGGACATATGTCATGTAGCAGCTCAGTACTCTTTTTTTGTTACCAAAAAATCCTCTTGTAATATACTACCTAGCTTTTGAAGTAAAAGTTGAACTTTTTGGGTGGGTTTTGTTTTAATTTTTATTTTGTTTGCTTAAATATGTTGTTTTTTTGTTTTTTTTCATTTCCAGAAAAAAAGAACTTATCCATTCATGTACCATTGATTTCATGCATAAATATCAAAATATTGAGCAAATCAATAATGACACTTCTTTTTTTAATCAATTAATGATTACCTTGAAAGATTTCATTTGGAATTACATTCATCTTCATCTAGAAAACCAGCTTTTTGCTATTTATACTTTATTTATCTATTTACAGAAATAACTGCATCTCCTGAGATATGATAAATATTACATATTTAATTATAATGTGCTTTATTAGTAATTGGGAATACCATATTTTTCGGCTTACAAGATGCACCCTAATATCGAAAAGAAACTTCTAAGAAAAAAATACAATAAATTCTCATACAACAACACACTCACTATGCGTTTCTCACATACTGGTGCCATATATTGTTTAAATTAATCAATCATCCAATTTTGTTTGTATGGCAATGACATACTAGTCAAGTGCACAAAGGCTCCTGCTGCTGGTAGTAAACAGAGCATGTTTAAGCTTGTGGTTTGACTCTAGGAAGGTTTATAGTCTTGGAAATACTCGCAACAGCTAAAGACTGAGGTTACATCATATAAAAGGCTAAATAGCTAAAATTATACTGTAATGAATCAAAATACAAATTCATGTCCTTATCAGTCAAGCCAATTATGTGACCATACAAGCTTATTTGAGCCTGGATGTTGCCTTACATTTGTCTTGGAAGACGCACACATAGTTTTCAGGGTATTCTTTAGGAAAAAAAGTGCATCTTGTAAGCTTGGAAGATAAGGTATATGGATATGAGTTAGTGAAAACTAAAGCTCTGATAGCATGATGTACAGTATGGCATTGAAAGAAAACTTTTAGGAAAATTGCATATACTGGGAAAAACACTTGGCACTTTTTCTTCATTTAACGTTTGGGTTGTGGTTATTACCCTGACTTGGTTTGTCAAGATGCTGTCAGGTGGTGCTGGTTAAGGACTATAAAAGAAGGAACACAAGTTTTCTCTCTCTTTCTTTCATTTGCTCCAAGATGTAGTAGTGCTGATGCACAAGCTTTTGTCCCCACTGGGAAAGTCTCCTTTCCCCCAGACTTCTTACAGCTTAACTTTTACACACACACACACACACACACACACACACACACACACACACACACACACACACATATTCATATCACACATGGACATTTCCAAACAGCTAAGTTCAATGTGTTTTCTTTATTTTCATTTGTATACACACATATAATATTTCCTCTCTTTTTGTTAATCCTTTATTTGTCTATATAAAGCACAAGGAAATATCTCTGTGTTGAAATTGCTTCCTTCCTCTCATTCCACATTTAATCCATTTCATTTTTCCTTCTTTAATTGGGAAAATTTTGGTTGCCACAGATTTTAGGAGAGCCTGAAACATGTGATAGAAGATGAAGAATTTCAAAATAAAGGAATTCAGTCTTTTCCAAAGAGATACATTCTACACAAGAAAGAATTTTATACATATATTTTTATAAAGAACATGGCTCACAAAAGAAAGAGAAAATTATATACATGTAAACAGATAAAGGTAACAAGGAGGAAAGAAAAGCATTTTTTGGCCTGACGATTACATCTAGCATGAAACAGACTGTCGCCTCTAAGAGTTGACTTCAATATTCCCTTTTATATTTACATACGCTCTAGCTCTGATATTGAGCACTTTATCCCATAAATATAGCAAACCTTAAGACTATATATATATATATATATATATATATATATATATATATATAGTTATTTTTATAGTAAATATGATTCAATTTTTCTTATGTGTAAGGTTTTTTTTATTTTCAACCTTTGACAAAGTGCATCAGAATAATAAATAAATGAACAAATAACTTACTGGTGTGCCAAATTTTGGAGAATGAGATCAATGTGTGTATGTGCATTAACCAGAAATTTTATTTGTAAATTATTATTATATTTAAAAAAAAACACACTCTTCTTTAATGCTTTCAAACACAGACTAATTATGTATTTTAGCAAAAAGAAGTGTAAAGGCCTCTGATTGGTTAGAAATTAAGATTGTATTGCTGAAAAAATATTTTTTTTATTCTTGTTGAAATATATTTGTTGATCGCTGTGCACCGATATCAAATGTTACCAGTTTGATTCCTATGTTGAGGGCTTCATATCTGGCTACTACCGCAACTGCTGTGCCATTTTATGGTATGTTTGTATGGTAGTACCAGCAAAAGCAATCATGAAATTAGCCGTTTCTAACATTAAACATTTATTGCTTGAATAATTATTGCCACTTGAAATTTATAAATTCTTCTTAAAAACACACTTTTTCTGTAAATTAGATTCTCAAACCCACTGTTATTCATCTTTTTAGTACATTGGTTGTTTTTGTTTAGCACTGTAGTGCCCGTAAACGTAATAGCAGTAGCAGGCCTGAATGAAGCTTGTATCAGCAGCCCTCAAATATAAGAACACATAAACCCTAAAGTAACTCTCACACTTTTGGGTTTTCTTCTTTCAAACAATGTGACATGAACTTTCCATGTTGAAGCTGAAAGGGCTGTGAATGCTTCACACTAAAACACACTGGCACAATAAATCCCACTTGAATATATTCAAGAACATTTCCTTGTGTATGCAATTTACTTTTAACAAATGAAACCATTGCTTTAAACATCCCTTTTGTTAATTTTGTTTTAATAAATGTTGAATTGCCTTGCAAATCAATTGGTCAGTTATTTTATGCATATACTATTTTGACCAACATTATTTCATGTATTATAACATGTTCCCATACGAAACCTTACACATTTAATTATTGAAGTAGTTGATCGCTAAAGCAGCATATCAAGCTCTATGGGTTACTTAATGCCGAAATCTAAATATTCTCTACATTATTTTACTTTTGGAGATAATGATGGTTTTAGTAATACAAGTCTTACTAATTACGCCATAGCTATAGTGAAAAGAGGTGGAATCATACCTTTCCAAAGAGTATTTGCGTGTAAGTGAATATAACGAACCAAAATGGAATTTGAACTCAGCCCTCTCATTAACAATCCGCTACACCAGCCGCGCATTCAAGCTTACAGCACTTCGTATTCCCAAGCGGGCACCCATCTAGGTACTGACCAGGCATGACTTTGCTTAACTTCGGTGATTGTACAGGAGACAGTGTTTCTACGTGATGTGGTCGTAAGCCACTTCTAGTATTGATGAGAGTTTTCTTCCAAACATTTTTTTAAGGTAGTGTTATTGAGATAGTCGAACAACAATCTTAAGAAGGTATGCAAAAATTTATGTATGTTTTTTTTTTTTTAGGTAAAGTGATGTGTTTGCCGTTTTTTCGTTTTTTTTTTTTGTTTTGTTTTTGTTTTTTGCTTCTAAGAAATGTTTCCGACGATTGAAATAATCGCTAGTAATATTGTCCAAATGTACTGGTTTTATACGACATTTTATACGATGAAGGGAATGTTTTCCGGTTTGGTTATTCATGATGAGAGTGAGACGTTTAAAAACTTTATACGGACCTCTATAAGCAGAGGTTGTCAAGGATGTTTGCTAACACTTTTCTTCATCAGGACAACATTGCAATTCCTGAGTGAAAATCGCACATAAATAACATGGTTGCTTTGTCTAGATAATTATTTTACTTGTGATATCTTTAATCTCAATATGTCAATAAAATAGGATGAATCGAAAAACGGACTTGATGAATAACTGTCCAACAAAATCAAAGCCAAGTCCTGAAACACAATAAGTATAATTTATTGATGCTTTCAGCGATTCATTAAAGGATAAATGAAAACATTTTATCATGTCATTAGCTTCAGGGGATAGGCTGTCCTACAGATTCTATTTGCACCGAGTAAAATGATCAGCAAATAATAAAAAAAGATTATTCAAACTGTTTTTCTCTGTCTTTGGTGATAATCGAAAGGACTCGGTATCGACTTCTCTACCCCATGACGAAAGATTGTACAAACTGTTTCTGTGCACATATCAGTAAATGGAATTATTTCAGATTAACTGGTAAATTCATTGATTCAAGTGAAAAGATAGTAGTACCTTTGGCAAGTACGAAATGGGCCTGTCATATTGATGTGGACAGGGTCAAACCAGGTGACAGGAACAGGAAAAAATGTAGAAGCTTATATTGTATGTCTTACTATCTTAGGATTTTGACATAGCAAATTATGATGTGTCCACTCTCTTTATGAATACGACGACCGACATTTTACTCGTGAGTGGAGGTAGCTTCAATATCAGTCCTTGAGATCCGTTACACAATAAGGTATCGAATATCTTCCTGTGTAAATATTTGGGGATAAAAATCCATGTTTCCATTTGAATTGTTTCACTACTCGTATCTCTTTGCCTGAAGAATATATATATATATATATCTTCCAGTTGCAGAAAAAAAGCATTGTTTTGTAGAAAATATTTGAACTATTTATCCTCTATTTATATTGATGCTATGACGGCGAAGGAAATGACAGGTCATATGTTATTTGCCGAACTGTTTTTGCCGTAAGGGTTTGACATAATATTAGTCGTCCTGGGTATTACGATAAATTACATCTGTGTCTTGGGTAAGGCGACAAACTACGTCGGATAACAAAGCCTCTGATCAGGAGGCTTTGAGAAGGGCGGAGCCACCGCTTAATTGCTGGTATTCCCAAGTGCACCCTCACCCGGGGTGGTAGCACCTGTCAGGGTCCCATCTATAGGCAAATAGTTACCCAACTTTAGAAAGGATCAAAACATTATGAAAGTATGAAAATAAGTTTTAATACCAGCAATACCTTTTTGGGCAATTGTTACCAGCAATACATTTTTGACAAAAATATTACTAACAATATATTTGTGAACAAAAAATATTACCAGCTATACATTTTTGGACAAAATATTAGCAACAGTATATTTTTGAAAAAATAAAATGTTTCCAGCAATAAAATCTTGTTGGCGTTAAATAACCCATTGAGGTTGATATGCCGTAAAACAAAACAAACCAAACCAGAATATTAGAAGCACCTTTTATATGTTGAATACAGGGTCTAATTTCACAAGTTGAACAGGTACCGGTCCGATTTGCTTCGACTAAAGGTTTATCATCAGAGAGTACATATTCCAGCTAAAAAATAAAATTTAGTGTGAAAAATTATTTTTTTAAAGAAATGTGGCAAGGTATTACGCTCATTTGATAAACACGCGTCCGATAAAAAATGTACGTAAAATTTGCATGTAGTTAATAATGTAATATTTTTGTATACAATTACTTTTAAAATTGGTACAATTTTTCTCATATTCAATGTATTTTAAATCCAGTCCCTAATACAAAATAGAACTGGTCGGAACATGGCAATGGGATCGTCATCCTCTCTCCTTATTCAATTTCTCCCCTCTGGTAGCGGTGAGTGAGATGCCTGTGAAGGACCAGCCTACTCCAGAAGAGTCGTGAGCAGAAATCACAGAGGAGTGTGGGTGATGGATGTGTCTGGGCGAATCAGTCCCTCCTGAGAGCATGTCGCAGATCCTTTTCATGTTGACGGTTAGACTCGAATGTCTCGATCCCTCCCAACCCCAGATGGTCCTAAGCTAGGAATGCCGATTTGCAGGTCTCAGTATCGATGTTGGTCTGTGTCAGGGATGTTTTCAACTGATCCTTGAAACGTAGCCTCTTACCAATGACAAATTCTCCAGACGGAATGATACGTAGGAGTCGAAATGAACGCCTTCTGAACAAGTGACCAGCCCAGAGAAGGTGATGTTGAAGGATGGTAGCCTCGATTCTGGGGAGATGTCCGAGAGAGGACATCGTTGTTGGTGATGGGGTCATCCCAACTGATGCGAAGGATTCTTCAGACCTTCGTTTGCTGGAACCAGGCGTTTGATGTCCCGACGATATAAAGTCCATGTCTCGCAAACCTACAGAAATGTGGAGAGTAGCGCGAACCGGACGAAAAATGAAATAGAAAAATAGACAAATAAATAGTCCACTGTAATGGTCAGACTGTCAGTTTTGACGACACATGTTCTAATGAAGTTTAGGCGGCAAGAAAAGTAAGAGATTTAAAAATACGTGATGATTTTCCGCAAAATTATAGCCGTATATGTTTTATAACAAAAACTCACTTAATAACAATGACATTAAAAAAAATATATTTTAATATCATTCTTAAAAATCATAACACAACATGATATAAATGAACCTTGTATCAACAGCAGCCCTCAAATATAAAAACACATGAACTCTAAAGTAGAGTTCTGAGTCCAAATTGGATTGCACAGGGTGATTTTCTTGGTTAACAAAAGGAAGTAAGAAAGCAATTAAATGGCTAAAAATAAAGATTGTATATTTTTTTTTGTTTTTGTTTTTAATAAAGTTCACCTAAGAAGCAAGGCCAACTCGAAGTAGAGGACTACTAAGTGAGATTGATGTGAGTGACAAGGAGGCAGAAGCGCGTATTATAAAGACGTGTAGGATAGATATCAATTGATTCTCTAGTTGAAGTGTCAAAGATTGTATTGATCAGGTAAAGTCTAAAAGAACATGAAGGGAATGGGGATAATGTGTCACCGTGAACGCGGAATGAGGTGGGGTCTCAACTGTGAAGGTCTGAACTGGTTAGAGTAAGGAATGTAGCCCGTTTTAATATTTGCCGTAGTGAGACAGAGAGAGAGAGACAGACAGACAGAGAGAGAGAGAGAGAGAGAGTCTAGCAACGTTTTGTCCGTGGGATAAGTGTTGTAGGGCAGAGAATAATTCATCATCCACAAGACTGCGTAATCGCTTTATTTATATTTTATTTGTTCTTGCCGGAAGATGTACGTCGAAACCGATGCGTACAGACCAAATTTGATTCTGGCATCTGTTGTTTTCGAAATTGGACAAAATGGATGTCTGCATTTGATTTATATCACGTTGTGTTATGATTTTTACGAATGATGTTAAAATGTTTCTTTTTTTAATGTCATTGTTATCAAGTGAGTTTTTGTTATAAAACTTACACGGCTATAATTTTGTAGAAAATCATCAAATATTTTTAAATCTCTCTCTTTCCTGCGTCTTGCCACCTAAACTTCATTAGAACTTGTATCGTCAAAATCGTAATTCAGAATGTTAACGGAAATGACATGCAGGTGTAATTGAGGGTGATTAAAAAGTAAGTCCCTATTTTATGCATGATAGACTCTCCCATCTAACTATAATTTTTACAAGACGGGAGAGTCCATCATACATAAAATAGGGAGTTGCTTTCAATCACCCTGTAGACAAATGTCCGAGACAGGACAGTGTGGAATTGTGTATGGCATGGAACATCCTTGCTTATTAAAGTCAAATTTAGAGTGTGGCAATAAGTTTATAAATATGGACTCACCCACGTGGGCGTGGGCTATCAAAATCTAAATTTTATATTTGGATTTGTTAGCCCACACGGAAAAAAAGATTCTAACAATTTTGAAAAGAATCTGTCTGAAAAAGAATCTACTCCCTGTCAAAAGAATGCGAACGGAATGGTGATATTGGGCTTCCTGGCTGTGCAGGTCTGAGCAGGTTGAACTAAGTAACGTAACTTGCTTGAATATTTACCATACTGGTGTTTATTTATAGGAAGTATTTGCAGAGAGTTAAATCTGGACTTCAAGGACGAGTCCTGTGTCATGTGATGTTTTGTTAAAAAAAACGAAACCTACACGAGAAGGAAACGATTACACAGTAAAATCATTAGTTCCTAAATAGGTATTTATGTAGATGACACTAACATTTAGTCATGCATCAGAAGCAAATCCGTCAGATGTGACAAAGTAAACCGGCTCTTGAAAAGGACCTCCAATCAGTGGTTAACTGGGGTAGGAAATGGCTTGTGAATTTTAATGCCTCCAAAAGAAAACTGCTTTCATTTAATCACCATTGAGAACCTTTTCTGCCTGTCATCAGCATGGCTGACGATAGACTCCAGGAGAGCGAAACACCGTGACCTCTTGACCTCACGCTTTCCACTGACATGGAGTAACAACATCGAATCAATAGATGCATCTTCTGCTAGGAAAACTGAGTCACTGTGACGTGCCAGAAAATGTCACCCCTCAAAATCCATCTTGCACATCATTCGTCCGTGCACTAAACACTGTTGCCATACTTGGTCTGGTGCCCCTGCCTTGACAAAATCCAGAGAAGGACCTGTAATATAATCG